GCCCGCCGCCCTGCTGGCCGTTCCCGGCGCCCGGCGCGAGGTCTTCGAGAGCACATCTTTCCAGGGCAAGGAGCAGGCGGCCGGACCGTCGGCCGCAGCGCCACACCTACTGCACCACCACCACCACCACGCGCCCCTCGCCCACTTCCCCGGCGACTTGGTGCCTGCCAGCCTGCCCTGCGAGGAGCTGGCTGAGCCAGGCCTCGTGCCTGCCGCCGCTGCGCGCTATGCGCTACGTGAGATCGAGATCCCGCTGGGGGAGCTGTTTGCCCGCAAATCGGTTGCGTCCTCGGCGTGCTCAACGCCGCCGCCCGGGCCCGGCCCTGGCCCTTGCCCCGGGCCCGCCTCCGCTTCGCCTGCGTCCCCCTCGCCAGCCGATGTGGCCTACGAGGAGGGCCTGGCGCGCCTCAAGATCCGCGCGCTGGAGAAGCTGGAGGTGGACCGAAGGCTGGAGCGGCTAAGCGAGGAGGTGGAGCAGAAGATCGCGGGCCAGGTGGGCCGGTTGCAGGCGGAGCTGGAGCGCAAGGCGGCTGAGCTGGAGACTGCCCGGCAGGAGAGCGCGCGGCTGGGGCGGGAGAAAGAGGAGCTGGAGGAGCGCGCGTCAGAGCTCTCGCGCCAGGTGGATGTGAGTGTGGAGCTGCTGGCCTCGCTCAAGCAGGACCTGGTGCACAAGGAACAAGAGCTGAGCCGAAAGCAGCAGTGAGTAGATCTCTGGGGACCTGTGAAAGGGTGTGCGGTGCCAGTCATTGTGCTGCCGTCGCTACCACCATAAGCTTTGCCTGAGTGTCTCTGTGTACGTGGCCATAGCTTTGTAATACAGAATCTGTAGCCATAAGCATGCAATGGGATTGGGGAGGAAAGGGGGGCAAGAATGTCATGAAGATGTGTGTTTGGCACCATGAGTACATGGCAGGTACCACGTGCCTGTTTGTCAAGACTGTATCTTTCTCCTCCTTGTCCTCTGTCCTAGCCAAGCCAACTCTGCATTTTGGCACCAGATTCTTGTCCCTTTCTCCTACTCAAAGATATGGTCCAGTTTTCCCTTCTCCCTTTTCCACTATTAGATTTTCCCTATCTGCATATTATTTCTAGAAGCATGCAGACACGATGTCATTTCTCCTATCTGCCACAACCTCTCTTCCCCTTAATCTACTGCCCCCTTTGTCTCTCTTCCTTACAGAAGAACAACTCCAACTTGCCTGCAATTTCTTTCCTCACTTTCTCTATTAAACCCAATGTGATTAGGTTTCCACCTCCACCACTGTCACCAGTGTTAACTCCACCTCATGTCACCAGGGATCTTCATGTTGCTAAGACCAAGCCATCATCATACTTGACCAATCAGCAGCATTGGACACACAACTGGTTCTTGAAAGACTTTCTTGATTTGGCTTCCAGGACACTCTCTTGGAATTTCCTTCTATCTTTTTGTCTGCCCCTTTTCAATCTTCTTTACTGGCTTCTCATTTCTCTGGTCTTTAAGTGTAAGATTATAACTACAGATGGTCCCCAACTTACAATAGTTCAATTGACAAATTTTTCGACTTAATAGTGGTGCAAAAGTGATAACCAGTAGAAACCATACTTTAAGTAAGTGATAACCAATAGAAACCATACTTTAAGTACCCATGCAACCATTCTGTTTTTCATTTTAAGTATGGTGTTCAATAAATTATATGAGATATTCAAGTTATTGGGCTATGTGTGGGGATGTGTGATGGGGCCGTGTGCTCAGGAGTGTGTTCGGAGGCTGTGTATTGAGAACCCATGTGACTGAGCAGGCCCAAGTGAGGTAGATGTGACTGGCTCTGGTGTATGGATTGTCTTTGGGGCTGGGTGGGGAGTATATGACTCAAAGTGCATGTCTGTGCCATTGTTGGGGGCCATGTGCTAGGCATGTGCTGCATGGACCCACATGACCATGAGCAGACTCTGCAGACAGCTGTGTCCTGTGTCTCCCTCCGAGGGTGGGTGGGCAGCCAGGCCAAGGCCCTGGGGTGAGAGACTGCTCCCGGCCCAGGGAGGTGGTGCAAATCGATCAGTTCCTGAAGGAGACGGCAGCACGGGAGGCCAGTGCCAAGCTGCGGCTACAGCAGTTCATTGAGGAGCTCCTGGAGCGGGCTGACCGTGCTGAACGGCAGCTGCAGGTCATCAGCAGCAGCTGTGGCAGCACACCCAGTGCCAGCCTGGGTCGTGGAGGTGGGGGCAGTGGAGCAGGCCCCAGTGCTCGGGGCCCAGGCAGAATGGTAAGTGCCCACCTGCCTTCCCTCCTCCACTTGCAAACCTGGCCCCCCCATGACTTCCCTTCACACATGGCTTGTCATCCCCCATAATATCCCATGCTTTCCTTCTCTGGCTCTTCCCCCATGAGGGGTCCAGGAACAGGAAGCCCCTCTGATGGGGGAGGAGTGCCAACCCCTGAGGCTTTAGTGAGATGTGATCCAGTGGCCCTCATGGGCCTATCTCTGCCTATCCCTGCAAAATGAGAGCCCAGGAGCTATAGGCTAGGGTCTGGGGTGGTGGGCAGGTATAGGGAGGGGCTGGGGAGCCTGCCTCTCTGGGCTATCCGTCTATCCATTTGTCCATCTTTCCCAACCTTTTTCCTTCTCTCCTCTCCCTCCTCTTCTCTCCATCTTGTGCCCTGTTTCTCCCCCTGTTGCCTCTCATCCTCTTGCCTTCTCTGCCCACTTCCTTTCCCTCCTGCTCTGGGGGCCCACAGCGAGAACACCACGCGGGCCTGGCCATGCCCAGCACATATGCAGTGTCACGGCATGGTTCCTCTCCAAGCACAGGGTAAGCCTCGGGCCTGGCCCACCCCACCTCACCCTGGAAAGATCCGCTGGCCTGTCAGGAGCTTGTCATCCCCTTCCCCTATCCTTCTGTCCTTACACAGAGGGAGCTTTGGGAAAGTAGGGCAGGTGGGTTGCCTTTGGCTGGTGGTAGGGGGTGGATGAAGAGTTCAGGCAGGTCTGGTTCCCCTCACAACTTACTGTCTGGTCCACCCCAACCCAGGGCCTCCAGCCGCGTGCCAGCTGCATCTCAGAGCTCAGGCTGCTATGACAGTGACAGTCTGGAACTGCCCCGACCAGAGGAGGGGGCCCCTGAGGACAGTGGCCCCGGGGGCTTGGGCCCACGGGCGCAGGCTGCCAACGGGGGTTCAGAGAGGTCCCAGCCTCCTCGCAGCTCAGGCCTGCGGCGCCAGGCCATCCAGAACTGGCAGCGCAGACCCCGCCGACACAGCACCGAAGGGGAGGAAGGTGACGTCTCAGACGTGGGCTCCCGAACCACCGAGTCAGAGGCTGAGGGGCCATCAGATGTCCCCCGCATGGCGCCTGCTATGGCTGGGCCATTGAGCAGCTGCCGGCTCTCAGGTAAGTCCTGGGAGGGTGGCAGAGGAGCCAGCCTTTCCCATGGTCCCAGGTCCTCTGAGGGGACACAGGACCCGGGCAGACCCTTTCCCTAGACCGTCCCACTTCTATGGTTGCCCTTTAAGACTGAGGCAGTAACTTGAGTGACTGGGCAGGGCTGCAGGCACAAGGGTGCCCTGCTCAAGGGGGGGCAAAATGGGGGCCCATTCACATGATTGTCTCATTAACATTTATAGGAGAATAGTTGAGTGCTGACTGCAGACTATGAAGCCCTTGAGGGAGAGCCACCTGCCATATTCACAGATGGCTCTGCACACACAGGGGGTTAGAAGGCCAGAGGGTTAGCTCAGGAGTGCAGCTGCATCCACTGTCACCATTCTGGGCAGCCCCTCTCTGCCTTTGGGTTCCACAGGCCCAGTTTATGCTCTAGTTCTCCCAACCCCTTTCCTTCTCCAAATATGACGTAGTTACCTCATGTAGGGGGTGAGGTTGGACTGTTAGGTGATATACAGCCTTAAAAAGAAAGTTTACATGAGGAAGGAACACCTTTTTGTAATTTAAGGGCTGGGGTACTGCAAAGCAGGGGAACCAGAGGCCCCTTATACTTCCTCCCAAGACACTGGGCCTCCTGCAGCTCCTTTGCTGTCCCAGCTCCCCACTGACATCCTAACACTAACCTCCAATCCTCCATGCTCACCTTTGACCTCCTGGTATTCTACAGCCCGCCCCGAGGGGGGCAGTGGGCGGGGTCGGCGAACTGAGAGGGGCAGCCCCTCTCGCTCCAACGAGGTCATCAGCCCAGAGATCCTCAAGATGCGAGCTGCCCTTTTCTGCATCTTCACCTACCTGGACACACGCACGCTGCTGCACGCTGCTGAGGTCTGCCGGGACTGGCGCTTCGTGGCCCGCCACCCCGCAGTATGGACAAGGGTGCTGCTTGAGAATGCACGCGTCTGTTCCAAGGTACCTGCCCCTGCCTGCCACCCTCACCCTGCTGTGAGCTTGCCTTTATCCTAGTAGAATCTTGCCCCTCAAGGTCTGGTTCTGCAAACCTTGAAATGCTCTTGTGGGGGCCTCTCACCCTGAGGCTGGCTCACCTTCAACCAACCAAGTTCAGACCTCCTCATCTCCAAATACTCTTTTCCTCCCTGCAGTTCCTGGCAATGCTGGCTCAGTGGTGCACCCAGGCCCACTCACTGACACTGCAAAACTTGAAGCCCCGGCAGCGGGGAAAGAAGGAAAGCAAGGAGGAGTATGCCCGGAGCACCCGGTGAGGCCTACAGTGGGTGGGTGGGTGGGTGCTCCTGGACCACAGACCTGGAATTAATGAGGATGCTTCCCAGAGGAGGAGGTGGCCATATGCAGCTCTCTGACCTCCTGGTCATCCCCAGGGGCTGCCTGGAAGCGGGACTGGAGTCCCTGCTGAAGGCGGCCGGGGGGAACCTGCTGATCCTGCGCATCTCCCATTGTCCAAACATCCTCACTGACCGTTCGCTCTGGCTGGCCAGTTGCTACTGTCGTGCCCTGCAGGCTGTCACCTACAGGTGGGTCTCCCCTACTGAAACAAGGCCTGTGCCCTCTTGGGCCAGGCCACAAGGGATCCCTAGGGGTTCACAGTAAGGGTGTCAAAAGCTCTGTGGCCTAAGGGAAGGAAGCCTTGGCAAGAGCAGAAGCCACCAGTGTGGACAACTCCAGCTTTGTCTTTTCAACAGGAGTGCCACTGACCCTGTGGGCCATGAAGTCATTTGGGCTCTAGGTGCAGGCTGCAGAGAGATTGTCTCCCTCCAGGTGGCACCACTTCACCCCTGGTGAGCCCTGGCAGCGGTTGGGAGAGGGGACAGGGTTGGGCCTGGCACTCGCTGAGGACTGAGCAGATCTGAGCCCATTCCATAAGCTATTGGAGAGATAGACTCACACACATTAATCTATGCATTGAGGTGTTAGGAACAGGGCTTTAGAATCAGACCTGGGGACCTGTCCTGGCTTACTGGCAGCATCACTTTTGGGCAACCCAGTCATGTCTTAGTTTCTTGAACTGCAAAGTGAAGGTGATGTTAGGATTCTGTCGACCTCATTAGGGCTGTTGCTGGCCCAAATGAGATGATATACACAAAACTTGTAGGGTCCATAGTTAAGTATTTAGTAAATACTAGATAAAAACAGCCAGGTGTGTTTCACATATGAAAGCCATTTCAGGGAGGTCAGTGTATCAAGTATAAAAGAGCTGGAGGTTGGAGAATGCAGGGTGTGAAATCATTCCTCCTTCTACTTGGAGTTCCTCAAGCACACCAGGCTCTTTCTCTCCCTGGCCAGCTGCTATTGCGGTGTCCTGCAGGCTGTCACTCACAGGTGGGTCTACCCTATTGAAAACAAGGCCCATGCTGATCCTTGTCCCCAAAGTCCTTTTTCCACATGACAACTCTGTCTAGGTCATCCAGTGTGCCTTCTCCAATGCCTTGGCTACAATGTCACTGCTCCCCTGCTTCAGTTCCCACTGCACCATGTCCTGATCCCTGCTGTCATCCTTTCTGCAATAATGTCTCTATATGAAGTATTTTGATCTCCTCCTCTAGACTGGCGGTTCTCAGAGCAGAGTCTGGGGACATCTATTTCCACATCCCTGGTACCCAGTGCATAGCAGACACTAGGGAGATATTTGTTGCCAGGGCAAATGCTGAGGGATGAGATGTTCAGGCAAATGGCAAGTTTAGTGGAGTGGAGTGGGCAGGGCCAAGCAACGAGTATGGAAAAGAAGGTCAGGACGAGGTGAAGAAGGGCCTTGCTAAGGCATTTAGGTTTTTGCATTTTATCTAGAAAGTACTAGGAAGTTATTAAAGGGTTTTAAGAACAGGATTATTATCAGACTTGAACAGGATTATTATCAGACTTGTGATATTCTATGTCTTGCTCCCCCAGAAGACTTAACACTCCTTAAGACAGGGACCATGTCTGCATTGTCACCACTGTATCCTAGGGCCTGGCTCAGTTGTTCTTTGCTGTCTAGACACTTGATAACTGTTTGCTAAAGGACAAAGTGAATGGATGTAGGAAGAAATGGCTCACTGTTAACAGTGCAGAGGGTGAACTGGCAGGGATACTTGTTACAATACAGAATGTTGATGGTCTGAACTATGGGTTCACGAGTCACTTAGAATATGCAGGGCTTGGCAGGAGATGAGGCGAGAGGAATCGGGTGATCCCAATTTTCTGACTTGACCAGTTGGGACTTCGTAGGACACTTGCCTAAGGCGGGGAAAAGTCCCAAAGGAGGAGCATGCTTAGGGTTTCAGGTACCCAGAGGCTTCCCTGACAGCTTCCTCCTGCCCATTCTCCAGCCAGCAGCCCACCCGCTTCAGTAACCGCTGCCTGCAGATGATTGGTCGCTGTTGGCCCCACCTCCGGGCCCTGGGGGTTGGGGGCGCCGGCTGTGGGGTGCAGGGCCTGGCATCACTTGGTAAGTCTTTCCTTGGACTGGGATGGGGGTTGGTGAGATGCAGGTGTGGGTACAGGGCTACCCTCTGAAATCCCACAGGGACTTGGGGCTGCCTGGGTGGTGACAAGGGCCTCAGGGTGGTAGTCAGGAGGTGACCCTGAGAGTTTGTCAACAGGGCCTTCCCTTCTTCCTCTTCCTAGCGAGAAACTGCATGCGGCTGCAAGTCCTGGAGCTTGACCATGTGTCAGAAATCACCCAGGAAGTGGCAGCTGAGGTCTGCCGGGAAGGTCTGAAGGGACTGGAGATGCTGGTGCTCACGGCCACCCCTGTCACCCCTAAGGCCCTGCTGCACTTTAACAGTGAGCAATGTGGGGAATGCTGGGTAGAGTATGACCACCCCTTCACTGTGCCCTGTCAGCAAGTAGCATAACCAGTTCTTTGTTGCTCTGATCAGTACTGGGGCAGACTGACCAGGGTTCTACTTCTGGCTTTGCCACTAGTGCCTTCTGAGGACGGTGTAGCAATCCTCAGAGTTTGGTCTAAATGTTCAATTCAACAGACATTTGTTGTCCTGTGCTCGCTCTACCCACATTAGAGACATAAGCTGTCAGCCCCCATGTGAGCCTCTAGCCAAGGGCAAGGGCAGCACACAAGTTAAGAGCTCAGGTTCTGGGGCTGGACTGATATAGGTCTCAATTCTGGCTCTGCTGCTCATTCACTATGAGACTTTGGCAAGTTTCTACACCTCTTTGGGTTCTGTATTTCCATCTGCTCAAATGATTTTCTAGATGGGTGTAAGAATGAAATGAGATGATGTTTAAGCACCTCCAGGATAATTCTCAAAGTGAAGACTCCCCTCTCCCTGGACTCCAAATCATGCCTTTTGTTCCCCACCCTGCTCACCCACTCCACTTGCAGTCACTCTACTTTCATTCAGAAGGCAGGCACCCAGCTCACATTGCTCCCACCCAAATAAGACCACCATACAGGGGCCAAGGACCCATGCCCTGACCACTTAAATATTTTTTGACCTTCTTTCCAGGACCCTCTTCTTCCCTCCTCTTTAGCCACATGGTCATGCCCTGGACTTTATCTCCAGAACTACTTAGTCTCCAAAATCATGACCTCCAGGCCTCTTCAGCCTCCCTGACTGACTTCATGCAGTATCCAGTCCCCTTAAGCCCTCTGCTTCCAACTGTTTGCCCTCACCTCCCCCTCCTTTGAGCTCTGGCCTATATTCATCAGCCTCATCTCAGCCACTCTGTTCCTTATAATTCATTTCCAAATGCCCAGACCGTAGTACAACTGTCCCCTCTGCCAGGGAATTTCCTAGAGCCCTTGAACAATTGACTGTTTCCCTCTTACCCTCCCAGAGTCCACTGCAGCCTCTCCCCTCCCTCAACCCCATTGCCCACTTCCCCCTAGGTCCAGTTGTGAGCTGCAGGATGGCATGGGCCTGCTTCTCTCATTTATGTTCCCAGTGCTTGGCACATGACTATCTCTCAATGGGTGTCTCATTTCATTAGTGAGACAAGAAAGGAGGCAGGCCCATCACCCAGGCCAAACATGGGCACCCTCTTACCCATCTTTCCTCAGGCATTTGCCGGAACCTTAAGTCCATTGTGGTTCAGATTGGAATTGCTGATTATTTCAAAGAGCCCAGCAGCCCTGAGGCCCAGAAACTGTTTGATGACATGGTGACAAAACTCCAGGTAAGGGTGAGCTCTGAGGTAACTCAAGATGCCAACTGTCATACTTCAGCGAGGGCTGGTGACCTAGGTGAGTGTGATGGGAGGGCACCCTGCCTGGCTTTGAGATAGAACTAACCCACAGTTTGGTCTGCAGGCCCTGCGGCGGAGGCCCGGTTTCTCTAAGATTCTGCACATCAAGGTGGAAGGTGGCTGCTAACCCGGGTGGGGGGCGGCAGGGCCCCTGCCAGCCCCACACCAGGGCACTCTCTTTGGACCTCTGGAGGGTCCCTGATTTGGACTAGACCTTTGGAGGCCTACTGTTATTATCCCTGGCTTCCAGGGATTGGGTGATAGTTTCCTGCCCTTCTCCTGGAACAGCAGAGCAACAGGCCTGACCTAGGGCACTGCTTCTCTAGGACAGGGGCTTGGACTAAAGCTGCCCTCTGACCTCCACTTTACCCCGAGTTGGAACAGCTTTCTGGCACAGCCAGTGAGGAGCTGGCCCCACCAGCACCTGGTGTCATCACCTGGAGGATCTGCAATAACCACCCAGTGGCTCCTCAGCTGCTCAGACAGGCCTTTCCTTCCTGGACCCAGCCTCCCAATCAGGGGTCTCTGCCAGGCTCCAGGTCAGAGGAGGCCTCACAGGGCAGCTCAGACTTGGCAAGGAGGGCTCTTTTCCCCTTACCCTGTCCTAGCCTTCTGTAGTTCATATTCTTTAGACAGCCTAGGTTCTGGGTCCACATTCTCCAGGGATAATACAGGCAGGCCTAAGGGCTTGGGCACATGTCAGCCAAAAGCTGGGGCATGCAGGTGGCATGGGGTAGTGGGGATGGGTTTGGAAAGAAACAAGTCACTCAGAACTTCTCCCAAGGATGAGACTATACCTCCAAGGTATAGTTGGAGGAAAATTGCCAGGTGGAGAAAACTTATTTACTGCTATAAGATGACAAGACCTCTCCTCCCAACCACCATACACCCTACCACATATCAGAGCTAAACTCAGACCTAAAGATGCATGTTTCTATACCTGCTCTTCCTTCCTGAGGGACTCTCTGGAGGGTCAAGGTTCTAGCCCTGGGAAGCCCTATCAGCAGTAAGAAGTAGTTCCCATCAAGGAATTTCCCTCTAATTTGGGTGCTTGGGTAGGAATCTGATGGGCTTTAGGTTCCTAGCACTGTCGGTGAGGGAGGCACTGGGCTGCCCTCTGTGCTGGGCCCTGGAGGAAGTTAAAGAGAATAGTAGCTTGCTGACTTCTTTACCTAGTCAACTTGTTTAAAGACATAGCTGGGGCAGGGAGCCAGACCCCCACAGGAGGTGGAGAAGATGAAGAATATTCTCAACAGACTTGGCCCCCCTTCCTCAGTCTGTACTGGCCCCATAGGCTGAAGGTTGTGTTGGGGAGCCTCCTGCTAAGGGGCAGTGCTGGGGCCTGGGCAGGAGCCCCTGGGCTCATAAGCCACAGAATGACAGTGGTTTTCACTAGCTGCCCTTGTACAATCCCCAAAAGACCAAATCTCAGCACCAAGCTTTCCCAGTTCCTCCTCTTAGAATTCCCACAGGGGTTCAGAGGCTGTGGGTTCTGCCAACCTTCACTTAAAAAGTTCTTTCAAACAGCTAAACTAGATCCATCTTAGTTTCCTTCTCTCCTATTTAGGATTGGCTCCCAGCCCTAATCATTAGGGCTGGTCCTGGTCCCAATCCTTCACAGGGACCCAATATTCTGCCACAACCTGGCTTGGATGTCAAGACCCAGCCCCCGGTTACCTCCCAGAGCTGGGAACCCCACAGGCATAGCAGCTTACCCCAGATTCCCTGGCTCCACTCCCTAGCACTGTCCCAGCTTTTTTTTTTTTTTTTTAAATCATTGCTTTTTCTTCTATTGTGGTTTGTTCTGTCTCTGCCCCTGAAATACCAAGGGTATCATTGTTGGCAATTTCCTGCCCTGCATGAAGCCCTGGCTTATGTGACACCCCTGTCCCCCTACTCCATAGCAGCTGGCTCAACTGGCTTCTATCTCCCTAGCCTTGTCCTCAGGAGTCACAGGAAGAAGCAGCACAGCTTTCCTCTCCTCCAGAGGCATGGAAGGGAGGTGGAGGCCCACTTAGGGCCTAGCTGCCTTGGGTTTGCCTGTCCTGCCTTGCCAATCACACCCTTAGAGTTCCTGCTCCTGTGACCCCAGGACCAGAGGTTCTGTCCTTCCTGTCTCCTAGACAAAGCACAAAAGGATGCCCTGCTTGGCCTGAGCCTGACCAATAGAGGAACTTTCTCTGCCCCAGGGAACCATCTATCCCTGAATACAAGATCCTGGGCAATTTTGCCCTGAATGGAACCCACTGTAATGCCTAGCATCAGCCCTAGGAAAGGAGGTCAGTGTGCAAGAGCAGCGAGCTAGGGTGGGAGAAAGGTGGTGCTAAAAGAACTGATGCTAGTCACACATTCACTCCATTCATTCATCATTTGTGCAACGGTACTGAGCACCACCAGCACTAGAGATGGAAGGGTGAACAAGCCTTTTGCCTGATGGGAAGTCCACCCTACAGGTTTGTCTCTTTCCAGGAAACCTAAGTCCTCCATCCTTTGTTTTCTGGCTCTGTGTGCAAATGTATGTATAATGTTGCAGAGGTCTGAACCTTTGACAACAGGAATGACAGGTCACAGTGTGTCCCACTGCATTGGCGCACTCTCCTCCTTGCCCCAGGCTGGCAGACTTGTGCACCCTGGCCTTCATGCATGCCTTGAGCCCCTTCCCCCACCAGCAACTTGTTATTTTGTTCTCTGCTCAGGGTGATGAGCCCTGGTGCTGAGTGGGGAGTTTTGCTTGCTGGGATGCTCCACATTTATTCTCTTTTTTGGCAACCATACAACTGGGCTGAGGATGAAGAACAGGGACAGAGGGCCTGGCCAGCTCTAGAAGCACCTCATCCCATCTGTACTCACCCAAAGGGGAGTTATCATCCATATCATACCTAAGAAGATGCAAAAAAGGAGTATCAAGAGAGCAAACGACGGGAGGGCCTGCTTTAGGGGCCCCAGGTATAAGTCCTATGGGTGGTAGTCACTTGGTGTCCCTACAACCCCTTCTGCCACACAGCCTGGCCCTAGCACCTGGAAGTTTGGCATACTTGGCTTGAGTATTTCATACTTTTTTCAGGCTGCTTCTCCCCAGCACTGGCAGGAAATGAAAATGCATACACTGCCAGAACCACAGCTTTTCACCGGCCAGGAGAAATTACCTAGGGACCAAGGCAGCTCATGTTTTCTTAGTCCTCTGATAGTAGAGTCTGAGCCAGCCCCTCAGGAATTGCTTCAAAAGGACAAAAAGAAAAAAAGGGAAAAAAAAAAAAAAAACCTTCCCAAGGCCTGCTCCTCCAAGGTTTAGCTCTGTCCCTTGCCTTTGGGTCCTGCCGATCCCTCTGGTCTCTAGTCTGTTGGGCCACAGGTGGGGAGCTGCCCAAGCCCCAGTCCAAGGCACTATGTTAAAGACCTTCCCTGAGTGACTATTGGTGCCAAAGTCCCAGTTCCTGGTGGACCTGGGGTGAACACAGGAGAAACGGTGAGAGGGTATCTGGCCCAAGTGCCCAGAGATGTTAACTTGAACCCATGGGATTTTTCCCAGCTTCAGTCCCTAACAGTGTGACTTCCCTCCCCTGGGGGTCTGGTCCTTCTTTTTTTACCCCTAGTGGACATGCTTTCTCACCCAGCCTTGTTCCAGGCCTGCATTTCTGTATATATTGCTATGTATTGTGTGTATGTATTTATTCCTGGACAAGTGTGTTCATCTGCAGCCCTTGCCTGAGGATAAGGTTTAGGATTGGGTGAAGATCAGACTACCAGGGCCAATTAAGACAACTACTCCCTCCCTAACCCCTCGGGACCTCAGCTGGTCCCAAAGCAGCCCTGACAATCAGGCAGGCTCCCCACCACAAGGCCAAGCCACCTCTGCACTGCCAGCATGGCCACGGGGAAGGCTTGGCCTCAGGCTCCCTAGCCTTTGCTCTGCCCTGGTAGGGTTCATGTAATCCAGGGGCAGAGGCCCAAGGTGACCTAGGCTTACCTTGTGGCTGATGCCAGCAGGCTTGGTTCTAGTGGACACCCCTAGAGGGGACCTCCACAACTGGCCCCTAGGCCCTGCCTTCCCACACTGAGCCAGGCTGCTATGGACCTGAGCTGTGAGAAGGTAGCTTCCCCCACCCCAAGCACATCAGGCAGAGGGGTGGAGAGCAATTTTTAGTTTTACTTTTGTTTTTAAAGTGGTGCCTGTACCTCCAGCCCCCAGGGGGCCTTCCCTGGCCCCACTTCTCTGCCCCACCCAGGCATCGCCATCCCAGCACTTTGCTCCATGTCACCCATAGATGCCCTTGCCGAATGTACCTGAGTGTATGTATTTAAAAGGACTCATATGGGCATCAGAGAATTTATGGCTCTGTATCCAATAAAAGATGGTGAAACTGGTATATGTGTCCCAGGGAAGTAAATGGTATAATGCCATATAGTCAGTCTGTGTCACCACAGCTTTTTTGTAACTCAAGCACACTCTGGCAGGAAGAAGGCAGGTAACTCAATCAGCGTCAATGAAGTGAATGGAATATTAAGACTTGCTTAAGGACTGCAGAGATCACTGGAGGTAAGGCAGGTTACTGTCCCTGCCACAGCTCAACCCTGCTTTTGGTGTCTGCATCTTGACAAAAGACTATGGGACATGTCAATTCTGGCTCTCAGCTGAGAGGCCAGCTTCAAGGGCAAACTCAGCACAAGGCCAGCAGGAGCAGGCACTGCTCAGCCCTCCCTGGTTTGGCCACCTGCTCAGGAGACTCTGGCCAGCCAACTGGGCTTTGGCCAGGGGAGACCAAGTTGCCAACATGGCCTGGCCTACACATTCCTTGTTTTATAAAATGGCCTTGATCCACTGGTTTGATCCTGAAATACTTAAAATCAAGAGTAGGAATAGGTGTTTAGGCTTAAACTGTGGCTCTTACATCAAGCAAGTAGAATGAGCATTCAAGCCTCATAACTCTTTGATACAGGCTATTCTTTTTTTTTTTTTTTTTGAGACAGAGCCTCAAGCTGTCCCCCGGGGTAGAGTGTCGTGGCATTACAGCTCACAGCAACCTCCAACTCCTGGGCTCAAGCGAGTCTCCTGCCTCCACCTCCCAAGTAGCTGGGACCACAGGCGCCCGCCACAACGCCCGGCTATTTTTTGGTTGCAGCCGACACTGTTTGGCAGGTCCGGTCTGGGGATTCGAACCCGCCACCTTAGGTGTACGT